GCATCACGATCCTTAAGTACATAGGAAAAGATGAGCGAGAGTTTTCCTTACTTCTTCTTAGGGTATGTTGTACATAAGATGCTTAGCTTATTTGTACAACGTATTCGCTCCTATTGTCACACACTTTAGTGTGATACATATCTCAAACCACTTGACGCATATCTTAATGAAACACTTCAGCAATTCAAACCTTTTTGCCTTCAAACTTTTCCCTTTCAAGCCTTTTTGAAAAGGGCATGCTATTTCCATTTTACCGCAAACAAATAACGTCTCTAACTGCTAGACTGCGAACTTGTCCATAAAAAGCACACAACAAACCAAACTTTTTTCAACAAGAACTACAAAGTTTTTATTCCCTATGGGATACGTAGGCAATGGGTTGCAAAACTCAAACGAACTCAATAATAAAAACTTGTGTTTTTCTCCAAATAATCATCCATTTTCCTCTTAGCTAGATTAGAGACATCGAATACCCTTTCATGCATAGACAAGTAGATGGTTCCCATCGAGTACAAAAGATGTAAGGGGTCCTAGTACCTCCCCCTTACACATCCGACTTTCGAACCCAATATGGTTGTGATGACTATACCCTATCCTTTCACCTGTGGGTTTTCTTGATGTTTTCCCATTCCTTTCATAGGAATAAATAAAGTTCAATGGAGACTCTCATAAGTCTATCCATGATCGTGTAACCCCATTTTAGGCATCACAAAGATCATATTTTTCGAGGTATGACAGATGGTGACTCTGCTGGGGACTGGTTCACCCCTAAGCAAGTTAAGCCTAGTCTAGGTTGCTTCCTTCGCATGTTTGAGTGTTTGTTTCTCTTCTTTGCTTTCTTATATTCTTTTTCCTTTATTGCTTTTCATGTTATATATCTATGATTCCTTGGCATTTTGAATAAAAAAAATTGATTACAAACCTTGAGGGAAATGCTATATACCCGAGTTTAGAGTGAAAATATAAGATAGGAGAGGTTGAGTAGTATGGGGTACCGAGGAGTCCTCCTCGTGCAGTTTGATACGAGAACCTTGCTTAGAGTAGATTCTAATGAGGATGTTGGCAGGTGTCAAGTTTTTGACATGGAAGGCCAACATTTTCATTGGGATCCATGACTCTAAGGACCTTTTAAAACCTTGAACCATTTGGTCAAAAACTAGGTCTGATAGTCACGTAGTATAGGGCACTGAGGTGTACTCTTCGCGTAGTTAGATACAGAAGGATCTAGTTAGAAGAGACTTTCTTGATGGAGTCGTTTGCATGGAAATCACTAACATACGCAACGAACAGTCAAGGAAGTCCATGACTCTAAGACCCTTGTTTAGAACTCGATGTCGATGGTCACGTAGTATGGTGCATTGAGGTTTACTCCTTGCGTAGTTCGATACGAAGACCTCCCCCAAAAGAGATTCACATGATGGAGTCGTCAACCGTCATGTTCATGACGTGTCTGATGAACAGTCGTATAGATCTGTGACTTTGGGGTTCCTTTAAACTCTAGAGCCTACCCTTTGAGATCCTTGTAAAGAGAGCAATCAAAGTATCTTCCATCCGTGCCTCAGAATCTTGGAGCCACTTATCTGGAAACCCCATAATCATTCATTCATGCATTCATTCATCATATAAAATAAAAATAAAAGCCCTCAATTTCTTATGTTTGTTGCAGATTAAAGTATTTGACAAAGCAATCATGACAAGTCAGATTAAAAGAAAGAACACCTCCACCTTCAAGTTTAAGGAGCCGAAGAATGATAGCTTGAAAGCTCTGAGCTCAAAGATCACTGCCATCAAATATAACAAATTACATGCCAACTTTGGAAGGATTCTGGATGTGCTGACTAAAAATGTTGACGTTGAAGCTCTCACAGCCCTGGCTCAATATTATGATGTCCCGCTTTGTTGCTTTATATTCTCTGACTTTCAATTTTCTTATACCTTGGAGGAGTTTGAGACGTTATTAGATCGACCCATTAAAGACTTTAATCCCTTTTTAATGATGGACAAAGACCTTACTATACCCAAGGTGGCTGCTACTTTGGATATTCCGACTGATAATGTGGTAGACAACTGGTCAAGCAAATGAAGGTTCTCAAGGGCTTTCTTGGAGGAAGAAGCGTGGAAGTGTGTCAAGGAAGAAAAATGGGTGTCTTGTGGAGCCATTCTGGCACTGCTTATGTATGGAATTGCGTTGTTCCTGAAGGTGGAAAAGTATGTAGAGCGTTCAACTATAGAGATTTTCTAGACTGGTAATCCTGTTCCATTCTTGTTGGTTGACTTTTATCATACCTTCCACACTCGTCACGAAAAGAAGGGTGGAGTTTTCTTTTGCCGCGCTCCCTTACTGCATATGTGGATGAGGATGCACATGTCTCAGAAGGGTCCTTTTATAGCCAGGCAACTCCAATGGCCTCAAAGATTTACTTCCCTTACTGATAGTAACATCACTTGGTATAAAAGGGATTGAAACATCAAAACCATAATTCTCAGTTGTGGAGGATTCCTCAATGCACCTTTGATAGGATTATGACTACATCAACTATAATCATATACTTCTCAAAAGACAACTTGGACTCTCCATGGAAGGTCCCCTGAATAAAAGCATCTGGTACCATTTGTTATCAATGATGTATCTCCCGTAAATCCTGATGTATGAAGAGTGAGGAGTTCATGGTCGAAAGTGATTAGAAGCAGTCCAAATCTAAAGAAAAATATTGCTATCAAGAAACCATATATCAGATGGGTAAAGGAAATAACCCTAGTTGCTAAACTCCATTTTTCCTTTGATCCATCAGTTTTTCCTCTGAGTCCAGAGCCTAGTCCAATTTTTCCTGAAGACGTAGACAAGCTTATATGAAAATCTGAAAAACTTTGAAACTTGTATGAAAGTATATGCACATGCTAGCGGTTTTATATGAAGAGATTTTTAGCACCTAATGCTTATATACACATGAATTACTATTGTAGCTTAATCTTCATCTTTAATCCATTGATTATCAAAGGGTAACCAATCTTGAAAACTTGATTTCAATCTTTTCTCTTTTGATCTTTCTTCTAGTATAACCCTTTTTGTCTTTATAAAAAAAATGATAACATGATGATGAACATCTTCTTTTCAACAAAGAAATTGAGATGCTAAAATATGAACAATTATAAATTTATTTGGTTTTTTTTTATTTATAATCAAATAGGAAGATACAAAGATACTGATTTTATGTCTCATCAAATAGAATAATATAAATGTTGCTATTTTGTTTAGACTTTTCATTGTTATGTTGATTTGAAAATTATTTGGAGTTCTTTTTCTGATTATTCCAGGTACTCCGGTGTCAAAGTTTTCGTGGATTTAATTTAGAGCAAGATACAAAATGTTGTTATTTTTTTGTTAAACGAAGTAATGGAAATAATGAATGAATGGAGTGGATTAGAGGTATTTTGTTGAATGAAGAAGCCATGTATTTTGATGAATGAACAAGTGATATATTTTGTTGAACCAATCTATACTATTATTATTGTGTTAAATTTGGAGTTAATTTTGTCTTTTATTAAGAAGTATTAGTTATTACAAACTTTTCCATTATAAAAGAAATACATTTAAAGGTTATACACATAATTTTTTCAAATATAAAAAAAATGAATAAATTACAATTAAAAAAGTATGAGTATATGTAAATACGAGAGGTATCTCAAAATCCACAAGTTTCCATTTGATGGATACTCATACACAAAATGAGAGTATCCAAAAATAAGACAGATACAAACATCATATTTATTAAATGAAACAGATCCAAATATCATATTTACTAAACAAGATAAATAATCAGAAATTAATACCCACCCTCATTAATGTCCAGTGTCATTCCTAATCTCAAAGGCAATTATTAAAATATATTGAATTAAAACAAATAAAAAGCTGAAAAATCTGAATTCATAATTGAAAAAAAAAGAGTTTGGCTAAAACAATAAATATATTTAATAAAAAATTTCACAATATTTGATCGGTAACATACCCCTTTGACTTTGACACGTTGTAATCACTTCTTCAAATATATTTCTAATTATTTAGTGGCAATATTTTTTATGCAAATTACAATTTATTATTTTGTCGATCCTCCATACTCTAATTATTAGTCTTTCTAATTAAGTGCAGAGAATATTTGATTATGCAATAATCTAGAAAAAATTACACAATCTAACCAGTTTTAATTATTTGGTTAGGATTAATTAAATGGTAGTGCAGTTTAAAAAAAAAAACTAAATTAAAGCGACTTTAAAAATTTATACACAATTATCAAAACAAATTAAAGTAGATTATATCCCATGATACTACTATTCAGTAAAAGTAAATAAATTCTCTTCTCAAATTACAAATGAAGTACATTAGTTTTTTTTAACTCATTTATATAAATACATTTATTATATCAAATAAACTTTCTATTTTACGGTTACTATTAACACAATACATATTTTATATTAATCAATAATTACCTTAATTTAAAAGATAAAATTATTATTTTTAAATATTAAATATTCTTTTTTTATTTCAGGAGTTCTTTTTTTTTTTACTTTAACAATTGAATTTATATAATCATTATTAATTTCAAATTTAAATACATATATAAATACATTTTATATTGCACTAAATTTATATATAAATTTAAATATCTTTTATATTATATCAAATAATTTTACTCACGCGGAGCACAGGTATCTAGGGTATTTAGTTACATTTGTAAATATATAGCCAACCCAACAATCTACTTTCTTTCTTTACGTGCCTTATAAAAGCCACGAGTATCTAGGGTATTTAGTTACATTTATAAATATATAGCCAACCCAACAATCTACTTTCTTTCTTACGTGCCTTATAAAAGCCCTCATAAACCCTAACACAAAGCAGAGATCAAAACATTTGGCTGCTGCGGAATTATTCTCTCTCAGTTTCCACAAAAATATTAAAGAATAGCTTTCGCGCAGCAACACATTGATAACTAATCAAACAAATGGCTAAACATCTTGTTTCTCAATCTCTCCCTCTGTTTCATCTTCATCGGTCAGTTCCAATTCTCATTCATCCTAACATTTTTATTTTATTTCGTTTAATCTAATCTTACACGCTCAGTTTAGTTTACCACTTTTTTTTCTCTCGTAGGCGAGGTTTTGCTGCGGTATCTGATGTTTCAGCGAGACTGGGCCGCGGAAAGTTGGGAAGCATTGAAGAGAAGCCCGTGTCAAGAGATGGCCAAGAGGCCTGCTCGGTTTGGGTCCCGGATCCGGAAACTGGATACTACAGGCCAATTAATGGCACACCTAAAATTGACCCGGTGGAGCTCCGACGGGTGCTACTCAAACACAATACCAGATCATCCAACTAGAGCATAGAGGAGCAGAAGCTACGGTTACCGTGCCATAGTGAGATTTAGGTTTTGCGGCTAGTTAAATTTTGGTTTATGTTAAGCTTTATAGCAATATACTTTGGATCCAGTGAAGATTCCCTTTTAAAATTTATAACTTCTTTAATTTCTAATTGCATAAGATTCCCTTTTAAAACTGATTGAATAACTTTTTATACATAATTGCATAGATTCCCTTTTAAAACCGATTGAATAACTTTTTATACACGTATAAGATACTTCACTATTCAATAAGTTCTTTATACACCTATAAGACACTTCACTATTAGCTTAGTGATTGGAGGAATTTTTTATCTAAATATCTCACTTTTAAAAATAAAAAAACTCTAAAAAATGATTTTTTAGATTATTTTCTAAAATATTTTAATTTGAAAAAAAGTTAAATACGATCTCCATACTAATTAGTGATAGTCTTATAAGCTTAAGAGGTGTCGTCAATTAGATTGTTTGGAGACAATGTGTTAAATTTGAATATTGTCTTCAATTCATTTGAAGACAAGGTTTAAATATAAAATTTTAAACAAAAATAATTAACATTAATAATTAATTATAAATAATATTACATAAATTAATGATGACGATCAGCTTGATCATACCGCCTGCCCTCGTTGTTGATTCACTCCAGGTATTTGAGGGTTTGAGGTCTCAGAAACATCAGTAGGATCTCTAAGAAGTTCTTGTATTTCTAAGAAGTCTTGTGTATGGAGTGACGACACATTGTCGTAACTGAGTTTGCGATCCATGCTAGAGTAGTTGGGATGTGATGAAGGGGACATTGTTGTGCGGCCTGGACGATTGAAGGGGGACATTGGTGTGAAAGATTCATTGGTGAAAGGTTAAAATGGTAGTGGTGTTTGAAATTCATAAGGTTGTTGTAATGTTTGTCTTTGTCGGCTATGATGTTTGTGTGTGTCAGCTATGGTGTGATGTTTAAGCGTTTTGGTTATGGTACGATGTTTGAGCGTTTTGGCTATAATACGATGCTTGGGCGTTTTGGCTATATCTTGATGTTGTGTTTAAGGTATATGCATTTTGGGTGTCTTGATAATAGTCATTTTGTTGTATATGGTATGGGGACACTCTTAGTTTTGTGGTTAGGTGTCTGGCATGTTTGAATTGTGGGTTTGTGTGTTTGTGGGTCAGTAACTCGCACCATTGTCATTCTTGTCATTCTTAACTCGCACCCACCTACGCAGTGCATCAAGTCTCTCAATACTTTCAAATTTTTTCGCCTTCAGGTTTGTCTCTGTCTAACCAACGATTCAACTCCCTCTGTAGTTGCTTGGAACTTTGAATGTTACAGAAGAGCATCTTCATCACAGGCTTCTCTCTCTCTCTCTCTCTCTCTCTCTCTCTCTCTCTCTCTCTCTCTCGAATAAATCAATTTCTTGTAGCAGCGACGATACATGTTATCACTAATACAAGAGTATGAGAAAAGATGTGAAAATAATTGATCACGTCACCTCCATTTATAGTAAAATTACACATTGCACTTTGTCTCCAAATGAATTGACGACATCATTCAAATTTAACACACTGTCTCCAATTGAATTGGAGACACCATGTGGTGTCTCCAATCCAATTGGCGACACCTCTTTATCCTACAAAGCAGTTGTCAATTCATATAGAGACAACACCCTATAACTCCTCTAAAATGGGGTACTCTAGGAAATAAATTGAAAAGTGAATTATTTTGGATTTTTTCCGAAAAAGTAAGGTATTTGGATAAAAAATTCTGACCAAAGACCTATTATAATAGTGACAAGAAAGTATAAGATAATTAAATGCTTGTTTTTTCTAACATTCAAAAGTGTATCTATATATATATATATATATATATATATATATATATATATATATATATATATATATATATATATATATATATATATATATATATATATATATATATATATATATATATATATATATATATATATATATATATATATATATATATATATATATATATATATATATATATATATATATCAATGAGTAACGCATGGTCAATAATCTATATATCAATGAGTAACGTATGGTCAATAATCTAAGTATAATCTAAGCATGGTATAACATAATTATCGAAAATTAGTAATAATAAATTATTCTATTCTATTTGAGAGTATTATATATTTTATTAAATGACGAAGTTTAGAAAATTTGAGGAAGTCCTTTCGTGAGGATGTCAACATTGATTTCGGAAGGGAACATAAAGAACACGTGTCTAATTAGGAGTTACTTTTTCTAAAATCAAAATGAATGTCCATCTCAATATGCTTGGTATGTTCGTGTTGCATAGGATTACTAGAAAGATAAATGACACTATCATTGTCACGATACACCAAAGTGACCCGAGGAATAGGAAAATGGAGCTACTTAAGAAAATTATGAATCCAACATGACTCAGATCTAACATTAGCAACACCTCTATATTCAACTTCAACACTAATGTGTGTGTGTGTGAGAGATAGAGATAAAGATATATATATATATATATATATATATATATATATATATATATATATATATATATATATATATATATATATATATATATATATATATATATATATATATATATATATATATATATATATATATATATATATATATATATATATATATATATATATATATATATATATATATATATATATATATATATATATAGAGAGAGAGAGAGAGAGAGAGAAAGAGAAAGAGTTTCCTTTTGGAAGACTAATAGATAAGGTTGTCACCTAGAAAAATACAATAGCAAGATGTGGAGTGTCTGGTGTCTGGACATCTACTCCAATCAGCGTTAGTGTAGGAGATAAAGTGTGTGATGGGGGTTGGTGATAAGTGTAATCCAAAATGTATTGTACCTTGAACATAACGCAAAATGCTTTTGAGAGCAAGCATGTATTTCATGCAAGATGCATGCATATAAAGACAAACTTGTTGAACTGCATATGATATGTCAAGCCGAGTAAAGGTGGGATACTGTAAAGACCCTGCAAGATTCTAACATAGAGATGGGTCTTCCTAAGGAGTGTCAGAGAAGGTGCTAACTTTATTCTTGGTGTCAATAGGAGTGACAGAAGGTTTGTAGGATGACATGCTAGTATGTTCGATGATCTCTGAGACATAAGTGCTTTGACTTAAAAAGATCCCACTAGGATGACAAGATAAAACAATACCCAAAAGAATAACCCAGGGGACCTAAATCCATCATCGCAAACTCAGATGCTAAGAGTGACATAATTGATTTGAGAAGAGCATTAGTAGAGGTGATAAGTATAATTTCGTCTACATATAGAAGAATGTATGCCATGTCAGAACTTTGTTGATATAAGAAAGGGATTGGCTGATGTGTTATGGTGGAAACCAATGGTGGCGACATAATCAATAAAGCATTGGTATCATGCTCTGTGCGCTTGTTTGAGACCATAAAGTGACTTCTTCAGACGACAAACATAATCTGGATGATAAGGGTTGTGGAAACCCAATGGTTAATGCATGTAGACAGTCTCATAGAAATCACCACATGAAAATGCATTATGTATATCCAATTAGTGAATGGGATAATATTTTGATAGAGCAACGATGAGCATTGTGCGAATGGTAGCTGGTTTTACCACGAGGCTGAAATTTTCATCACAATCCACACCTGCAACCTGTGACCTACCATCACCTATAAGAAGAGCCTTATAACGCTCAAAGAAGCCATTAGAATTTTTCTCATGCCTAAAACTCCACATAGATCGAATAAGATTAACATCATAAAGACAAGGAGCTAATTCCCACGTCTTATTTCTAATAAGAGCATCAAATTCAGATTGCATTGCAAATTTCTAATTCGGGTCGAATAAGTCTAGTTTGGGAATTTTAGGTATGAGAGAGATGCTTTGGTCAGGTTAAGAGACTGATATGGTAAATATCTTGTTGGGTTTAACAATGTTTTTCATGTTACAAGTTGTGATGGTTTGTGTAGGTGGATGTGACTGTGGTTGGGTTGGTTGTGGTGAGGGAGAGGAAGTTGTAGTGGGGGAGTTGGTAGGGGAGTTATGAGATAGTGATAGTTGGTTTCTGGGTGAAGGTGGATAGTCAATTGTGGTTGCTATTGTTAGTTGGGTATGTGCAATAGTGGTGATATTTGATATTGCAATTGATGTACTATGTAAGAGTGTAGGTTATGATTTAAGAAGTTATAAGAGAGAGGGAAAGGATATCATATCTTGGTGAAGGGAAATTGTATTTCATCAAAGATAACATTCCTCGAAATTATTAATCTCGTAGATGTGTGCAGGTGGAATTTCAGTGGTATAAGAGTTGCGTTGGTGGTGACTGATTTTGAAGTGTTTTACAAGGAAGAATGTTTAAAAGATAAGTTACCATGTGAAGAGCATGATGCTAAAACGATATGGGAACGGAAGAATGAGCTAGCATAGTACTTTGTTATTAATGGTTCTTATTTTGTGTTCCACTTTCCCATTTTGTGAGGATGTGTGGGAGAAGAGAAATAAAAAAAATAAGGCCATGATCAGTGTAATATTTTCGAAGTAGCTCATTATTATATTCACTGCCATTCTCACATTGAAAAGAGTTTATGTTGGAATAAAAGCTGTTTGTACCATATCTCTAAGGTTTTGATGATAATACAGTATTTAAAGAACAATAAGGTATAGTAAAAAATATTCAAGTATGCTGGACCATAGACTACAATTTTTGAAGAAAACTTAATACTGGAACTAAGAACATTTAAAGAGAAGCTAAAGATCTAGATTCTGAAAGATCAGAAGCTAAAGACCAGGCTCTAAAGACTCAGACTCTGAATGAAGTCAACCATTGAAGATCCAGACTCTGAAAAAAATCCAGTCAACGTAAGGATCAAGGAGATTCTAATAGATCACTGTTAGACTCTGAGGACATTTTATCTTATTCTAATCACGTGGAGACTTAAGCAAAAATCTACAAAA